AGTTAAGTATACCGCGCAATATTACAGCATTTTGTGAGTATTAATTGTGTAATAGGTGCAGATTAGATCAACCAAGAAATTCACCAAATAATTTAAAGACTAAAATTTTGATTGCTGTTTATGTGAAAAAATTTATCCAAATTTTATCCATCAATTTTTTTTAAGTAACTTAAAGGTTAATTAAGTTAATTCAAATAAATTAAAAAAATGTTTAAGATTCTATCAAATGAGGTCAATGTTCTTTGATACCAAGAATCTAGATATGTAAAAGATAGCACAGAGAAGGTTCTTAACTGATGATATGCGGAACAAACTTTATGGACTATATAAAAATTAAAAATGATTTATATAAATATTATTAAATGAAAAAACACCCTGGACATATCCAACCCATTAAATAATGTAATCTTGCAAAGAAATGTCTATTATAATTGTTGTAATTTTAACTTTGACAAAGACCAACTCGTAAATAAATAAATATTAATAGAACAAAATTTTGTATAAACACAAAACTTTTAGATTAATTAAATTTTGAGACAATGGTGTCAAAAGTGCTGACAATGACCAGATTAATACGTTTTTTTTTTACCTAACCAATATTTACCCTATTTCCAACAATTTCACTCTAATTCATTGGTTGTACACCAAATGCATTTAATGTTAGATTTAATTCGTTTTTGTGTTTCTCTGTTTTAATAATTTATTTAAATGTAGATTATGATCAGAAAATTATCCGAAATTGTATCTAAAGTATGATAGATTAATTTTGTTATTTTCAAATTGAGATACCTACAAGAACAAAATTTATTGAACTACGAATATTTTCGTTATCTCTAATCTCATCTCATTTTATAGACCAGATTAGCGTAGGAAATTTTTGTGGTACTATTTTGTACTTACATTTTCTCGAAATCAGCCACAGCGAAAAACAAAGGTAGTCTGTGGAGAAAAGAAAATATATGGGAAGTAATTTTGTTTGTTTAATAACCGTTACAGAAATAATACCAGGTGGAATCGAATTTCGTTCCTAAAATCGTATTATTATCTTTAGATGTATAGTCAAGTCGTAGTAACGTTTTTCGCAAATTAAAACCTATTTCAGGATTAAATAAATAAACATCAGTAATATATCCAGCGTGGGTAATTCATAATCATTCAAACAAAATCTGTTCAGTAGTTTCTTGGTTAGAAGGAATTCGAACGGATTTGACCGTCAAAATATTAGTTTGGTATGCAAACTTCCAAGGTAGGTAGTTGTCATGGACATTCTTCTCCTTTAGGGGTTGGATCAATTTTATAAACAAACTGAAGAATCGGCTACATATTCCCCATTATCCTCAATTCTAACCAATATCTATATCGCAGACTGTGAGAGAAAAACTCTGGAATTAGCAACTTTAAAGCCAAAATGTTGGTTTAGATATGTTGACAAAACTTTTGTCATCTGGCTTCATGAATATAAAGATGTAAAAATTTCTGGACCATATTAATGACAAACATAAGGAAATTAGCTTCATTATAGTATTTAGAATAAAATGACACTGTTTTGATCCTATATGCCCTTATCAAGACATCACCAAATAGCACTTTAGCAACATTTACAGAAAATCAACACAAATGGATTATAACACTGAATCTCATTATCATCTGACCTAGAATTAACATACCGTCAACATGACAACACTTGCGGGAGGAACTAGATCACTTAGGATCAGCTTTCAGAGGAACTGGATTTACTAACAAAATTATTGAACAAGCCATTAGTTGGAAATGATAAGAATAAGGAAAACGGGGATTATCAGGCAATAAGACGAATGTGCTCCAAAACCCAGGTGTACTCAGCATCCTTTGTAGGTATATGCAGCAACCTATACAGGGATGGCCAAAAGTACGGAATAAAATTCATATCTTTTGAATGAGTTATTTTTTTAAAACGCCGAAACACGTTAACTGATTTTGATTTTTTCCCATCTTTCGGTTATATAATAATTCATTTTTCTTCAACCCCCTAACCCCCAGCTACCCCTACTTTTTTTCAAAGGTAAACATAAGGCATGAGGGGGCTCGTTGAAAAGCTTATAGAAAACCGAATCCAGCCATACCAAATAAACAAGTTTTATTNTCCGAAATCCGGGACCATACAGCTAATTCCCGGTACAATCACAGAAAATCCCGGTCATACCCATGTGGCTAGATGTTCTTTTAAAATGTCGTCAAGATCTACACTAAAATTTATGAGTCCACGAAACACATCAGAGTTGTCCGAATTTTCTGTCTCGTGTCCGCGAAGTGCTAATTCGAAAGCTCCGCAAAATTTTATGCAATCTATGATTTTAGATAGATAACGATTTTTCGTTACCTGTTCATTGTGTTTCCGTATATTATCCCAATATGCAGAATCTAACTGACTTCTTATGGTTATTTTATCTAATGATTTAAATTACTTAAATATTTCACACTGTATATTGTCCATGCTTTATCACCACCGAAAAGTAAGGACAGAAAACAAAACAGTGTATTTTTTAAATGACACCCGCACACCCACTCTGCTTTTGTGTATACATTATTGTTAAATTGTCTTTTATAACTTTTACTTCGGCTTGTTCCACTACGACTACACTATTTAATTGTGGTGTTGGCCCACCTAATTATGTTATTTTTAGTTTATCCTCATAAGGCAGAGAACCAAATAAAGTTTTTTTTTAAATGAAACGTTATTCATTTTAATAATTATAATATCCGTAGACGCCTAAACGAAAATATTCACACGTGCCGCTCGCAGAAATAAACCAGCACATACCACCATTGTATTATTTACTTATACAGTGATACCACGTACGAAATATTACTGCATTTACTTCACGTGCCTGATTAGCCAATAAAATCAAAGGACGCATCTAATTGTTCGCTGTGCACACATTTTGTATATGAGGTTGCATATATTAAGGAACGTAGCTGGCTGGATTCGGTTTTCTATAAGCTTTTCAACGAACCCCCTATGCCTTATGTTTCCATTTGAAAAAAAAAGTAGAGGTAGCTGGAGGTTAGGGGGTTGAAGAAAAATGAATTATTATATAACCGAAATATGGGAAAAATCAAAATCAGTTAACGTGTTTCGGCGTTTTAAAAAAAAATTTACTCATTCAAAAGATATTAATTTTATTCCGTACTTCTGGCCATCCCTGTATATTGCTAAACAGAGAGGTGGGTACATTAGCATGAGGTTAAGTGTCACCTAAAAAATAATAATGTAGATAAATCAGCATTTGAGAAGTAAATAACACAAAATTTTAAAAAATCGATTTTGGAAACGACTTCAAACCATTGAGGCTCCATGGATTGGTACAAATATCAAATATACGCACCGACCAGAGAACTTAATCCTCAGTTTCAGAGTTTGTTCTGAAGAACAGGACGATATGTCTCTCGAAAAGTAAAGAAGTCTAAATAGAGGACAAAACAACTTTCCAAAAAATTGTTTAAAAACATTAAAATGCATAGTCAGGAGTAATTTTTCAAAAACCAGGACAATGTTATAAACATTGTCAGCAGCGGACCGTAGATCAAGAATCTGCATAAATCCACATTAACTTAAATTAAANCGAAAAAAAAAATGTTTAACGAAAATATGAATTTTATGCAGAACTTTTTTACCACGCTGTATATATATATATATATATATATTGGTAGCTTCCGTGGCAGCTGACAGTGGTTGAATAGTTTTCGGGCTGGTTGCCAGATAGTTGGTTTCGACTTTTTGACGTTGACACTGTATATTTAATTTAAAATACTCATAAAATAAATATTTTTAAAATTGTTTATTTAAATACATGTATATGTAAATTATCAGTCCCTTTTGGAAGTAGAAACCTATCAAAATCACTTCTAATTCTGAAGCCACTGAGCAGACTTTGTTCAATGATATAATATATGTAACTACTATGAGGGATTCACACTACACAAAGTTTAAAATTTACAGGTTGTTTTGGGAAAAGGTACCATAAATTTAGGAGCTGATTATCAAACAAATAAAACAATTTTTCTTGTGACCATGGGGCTGTCGTCTTTTGTTTTTAAGACGATTTTCTCCTGTGACATTTTATGACGTAACTGTTCTGAGGGTATGTTCTTTACAGAATATGTTTTATATTCCGACGTAAAATTTTATTTTACATAAAAAGTACTGTTGTTGAAATTGGTGAAAACACAAGTTTTTTTTTTTTGGAAAAAATGCAATTGACTATCCCAATGTCAACCAACTTTTATTCTTTGATATTCTTTAAAGAAAAGGAACACTACAAGGGCATCTTTCTAGAATAAAAATAATCCGACATGAATCAAGTTATTTCGGTTTATATATCTACTCACAGATTGTCACTCCTTCTGATTCCGTAGTTAAAAATAAAAAATTACATTAAAAATCAACATTTCACCTTGAATTGACCTTGACCATTGATGGTCAAAAACTAATAACATATTCAGGTATCTGGCACCTTCAAAGACCAAATCTTATTACGTTGTTCTTTGCAAAAAATTTGACTACATTTTGTTATCAAAAAGTCATCTTGGAAGCCATATATCTCAAAATCAAAAGACAATAACAAATGAATAAATAAGAAAATAAATTTTTATTCTTTGATGTTCTATCAGGTCTTGAATTTCTGATATGTTTTTCCAAAACACGCTTTATATCTTCCATTACTATTGCATTATTGATTAAAAACTGTACTGTACAGTCCATTTTTGAAGGACCGTATAGCTTTTAAGAATCGCTTTTAGAAAATATTTTATTCCTTCTTATTTCGCTTTTTATCTATCGCTGTCAGATACTGTGTCACCTAGTTTGAGAACCTAATCTTGTAGAGTTTGTCATTATAGGATTGAAATTGTTTCAAATGCAAATCTACAATTAAAATTTATGTGGCAATGTCCTTCACAAATTGAATTACCAATTAGAACTTCCGCATTCCTGTAAATGTGGAATATAAGGAGTCACTCACCTATCGCCGAAGGGAAACATATGACTAAATGGGGGTGGCTGGATAGGTCTCGGAGGCTCTGATGAAACTGACGGCGCGGGGCTATGAGGCGAAGAGGGGCTAGAAGGATCAGCATCGGGGGCACTTCTAATCTGCTCTGGACTTTCACGGCCCGCGCTGCTCCGGCTCGAGCATTCTCTTTCCCTCGCGATGTCCTCATCCTGATTCACTTCAGGAGAACTGGTGGGTTGACCGTCGTCGACCTAGGAATTCGTATTACTTTGAAAATGTCCGAATTTACTTAATAAAATTATATAAATCTACAATAACTGTCGAAAGGTACCAGGTGGATTTGCTTAAAGGAAAATATCCCTGTTTCTGTTTATACTGAACATGAAACAAGTTGCTTTAATATACTTATGAACAATCCTTTTAAATAATAAAGGCTCACTGAAAAAAATTGTGAAGAAACGCAGGACAGATGATACTTATGTCACTCTATTTATTTGGAATACCCTGGGAAATACTTCAACATTTTTAAATTGACAAAAATCACCACCTAGAACCTAAAAAGTAGTCAAAACTCTAAAAACAGTGGGTTTCTCCTTGATTATAACAATGGACACTAATCGATGTATTTTGGGCATTCACTATTTAAAAAAGCAATCAACTCTTGCAACTCTTCAGTTTCGGGTGAGCAACCACTAAAACCTAGAAATCAGATAAAATTCTACATTAGGCGGATTTAAGTTGTAACGAAATTTTGGTTAATTCTACTACATTTTAATTTTATTTCTAATCCATTTTATTCTCAATCCAATTTACTTTTACTTTATAATTATCTTACTGTAATTATACTCCGAACATCTCGTATTATATGAGAGATCATAAGTAGATACGCTCGTATATTACGGTGAAAACGTATTTTTATTCAAAGCGACATCTACGCGAGAGTATAAATACCGGGAACAAACTACAATTTGCACTCTTCTGTCTGCTCTTTAATTCCTGTCTTTGCATTTCCGTACCGTTTCTTTTCTATGATAGGCTAGAAAGTGAGATGGATACACTTTCTCAAGGGAAATTATTGAAATTGTAAGTAATAGTGTCTATTATTATCTTAACGTTTAATCGCTTTTGCTTACTTAATATCTTTGTTAAGTTTATGTAGATTTATACGATATACAAACAAATTGTAAAATCTAATCAATTTTAGCTCCAAATAACGGATTACTAGTCTTGTGAAATAACTGTAAAACTGTGTAACTGTACTGTGAAAGTAAGCTGCAATCAGATTTAATAATAAGAAAACTGCAACTTATCCTCTCATTCCATCGTCAGACGCTACAACCACTCTGTAGACGTCACCCGGCATTATTTTCTAAGAACCGAAAGATTTACTTTATACCATATACTTTTNGTAGGTCGCGTCGTAATAAATAATAATCTAAGCTTCTAGATTTATTTTAGCGCGAGTACATTTGGATTCTTTAAATATTTTGTTGATATTTAATATGATTAAATACATAAAGTTTTATGTGTTCTGCAGCTCTGCAGCTCTTATGGTAAAACCGCCACTGATTATAACCATGGAGACTAATCGATGTATTTTGGGCATTCACTATTTAAAAAAGCAATCAACTCTTGCAACTCTTCAGTTTCGGGTGAGCAACCACTAAAACCTAGAAATCAGATAAAATTCTACATTAGGCGGATTTAAGTTGTAACGAAATTTTGGTTAATTCTACTACATTTTAATTTTATTTCTAATCCATTTTATTCTCAATCCAATTTACTTTTACTTTATAATTATCTTACTGTAATTATACTCCGAACATCTCGTATTATATGAGAGATCATAAATAGATACGCTCGTATATTACGGTGAAAACGTATTTTTATTCAAAGCGACATCTACGCGAGAGTATAAATACCGGGAACAAACTACAATTTGCACTCTTCTGTCTGCTCTTTAATTCCTGTCTTTGCATTTCCGTACCGTTTCTTTTCTATGATAGGCTAGAAAGTGAGATGGATACACTTTCTCAAGGGAAATTATTGAAATTGTAAGTAATAGTGTCTATTATTATCTTAACGTTTAATCGCTTTTGCTTACTTAATATCTTTGTTAAGTTTATGTAGATTTATACGATATACAAACAAATTGTAAAATCTAATCAATTTTAGCTCCAAATAACGGATTACTAGTCTTGTGAAATAACTGTAAAACTGTGTAACTGTACTGTGAAAGTAAGCTGCAATCAGATTTAATAATAAGAAAACTGCAACTTATCCTCTCATTCCATCGTCAGACGCTACAACCACTCTGTAGACGTCACCCGGCATTATTTTCTAAGAACCGAAAGATTTACTTTATACCATATACTTTTTATTTACTTATATGTCACCAGAACAATAAACTATTTCACACCAATATAAAAACTATAGGCAGAAAATTGTTAGCAACTAAAATATGCCACATTCCTTTGGGAATACAAAATGCCAACTAATTAGCCAAAACTCAATAGCAATTAATACAAAAGCTGCTAAATAAAAATTATAACCTAGTCTAACATGTAGTGTGAATAGGTTATGTTCATTTTACAACAAAAGCAAAATGTCTTAACGGAACCTACACACATTTAAAAAAGATATTAAGATAGTAATAGACACCATTACTTACAATTTCAATAATTTTTCCTTGAGAAAATGTGATCCTTTCACGTTCTAACCTATCATAGAAAAGAAACTTCACGGAAAAAGACAGAAATTAAAGAGCAGAGAAAAGAGAGGAATTCTAGTTGGTTTCCGGTATTTATACTCTTGAGTAGATGTCGCTTTGAAAAATAGAAATGCATTTTCATGGCAATACAGGAGCGTATTCACTTATGATCTCTGATATACGAGATGTTCGGAGTATAATTAGAGAAGATTATTATAAAGTTGTAAAAGTAAATGGTATTGAGAATAAAATAAATGTTACTTGGGAATAAAATTAAAATATAACGGAATTTACTAAAATTTTGTTTTAAAAAGTTGCAAACAGCCAGACAAGTGGATGCGGTGACTTATGGCCCATTTACACGAGGCCAGTTGTGAAGACATTCCATTAAGCCAATCCAATGACAAAGTTGAGGACAATCCAATAAAAATTCAATTGAAGTTTACACGTAGGCCACTCCGTCATCCGCCAGGCTAGTATCTTTGTATAATCTATGTGGTCTAGTATATACGGTTGTGTAGAATGGATAGGCTAGGGCTAGGCTAGGCTTGGCTAGGAACGTACGTTCTCACAAATGCCATTACACAAGCCAATCCACTTCTTGAGTAGTGGGGGACGCTATTGGCTCCTAAAATTAGAAACTGTTCTAATTAGTGGAGTGGCTTGGGACAATGGCTGGAGACATTCCATTTACAGGACTGTCTCATTTACACGATGCCAATGTTGGATTGGGTTAGTGTAATGTCTTCACAACTAGCCTTGTGTAAATGGGTCATTATTTAATAGTCATGAACCTAGATTCCTAACTGATAGACTCCGAACACAGTATGATACACTCACCCAATACCGCAGGCATATCCTGAACATACGAAAAGAAAATCAGTCCTGTAATCCTACCGTTCCGAATTGATACCAGAAGTTCCTTACTCTTCGAAGCTCCAAAATCTGTTTTAACTTTACATTTAATCGATTTTTCGATGGATGAGGTTCTACAAAAGAACCTATCTACAATCATGGTATATCTGAAATATCTGAAAGCAATTGCGAATGAAAATTGAATCGACTTCATTATAAAATTACACCTAAAAGCTGCAGCAAATTATACAGTGGTTTTTAGTTTTCCATTAACTGCTACCTACTAGATGTTATGTATGAAAGGAAGAAAAAGAATCCTTTACATAGATTATTCGAAGATAAAAGGGTGATACAAAAGGAAAAAGAATAAACAAAAAAACCAGTGTGTTGATTGATCGGAAGACAAATCTCTCATTATAAAGTAACATATTTTGGGACCTTGGAGAATGGAGGGTTTCTGGTATCCATCAATAATTGCGGGGAGTTGCAGTACTGTTTTTGTATGTCCACGATAAACCCGCGACTTAGGAAAACATAATGTAAAAAAGTAGGTGATTCTCTAGTGTTTACTTGGTTGGAAAGTTGCAAGGGTTGATTCGACTCTTTTAATATCCAAATGAAATCAACGAATATATGCGACTAATTTCCAGACCTGTGCCCAAGGACAAATCTATTGAATACAAGTTTTCAGCTGCTTTTTAGGTTGACATTTTAGGCATATCTGTCTTTTCAAAAATAACAAAGATCAATATTATTTACTAATATAATAGTTTTCACACCTTTTCCTCTTTAGTTTCTCCATCCCTTTTAATAATATCTTGACCGTCTCTTTTCCTTTGTTCTTCTTTCAATCTCTCTGCTTTTCTCCATTTCGCTCTTCGATTTTGAAACCATACCTGAAAATAATGCATATACCTATGAAGTATATTTTGAACTAGGCAACATTTACTTAGTTATTATTTTATTTAGCAAATAAATAAATCTTCTATGAGGAAGAAATTAAATAGTTGAGAGTAATTTGATTTTGTCAAAATGTAATTAAAAATGTAGATTAAAAAATATAGATCCATTTTATGAATTTTTAATATTTTTATTTATTTTCCTTATGCAATCGTTTTTTTTTTCAAAATTTATATTTTGTAAGTATTTTTATGTATTTGTGTATAAATTCAGTGTTGTTCTTAATTCATATTCCTTGATATTCGCTCAATGTCGCATGTGTGGCACCGGCGTGAGTATTTAATAAAAATGCACTAATTTAATAATTTAATATGAAAAATACTTAAAATCATTTAAATTTTGATAGAAATTTTTTTGTTTTCTTCCTAATCACAAAGTCTCTACCTATAATAAATTTTAGTTGCTACAATCGGTAAGTACGTACTACCGACAGTATACATTTTTTTTCTATTTAACACTAGATTCATCGATTTGCACTTTAACAAGGGATTCTACAGGGTGTCACAAATAAGTATATCAAGGCATTAACTACAAATTACTTGAACGAAAACAATTGAACTTCTGTCACTGTTTTATCATTTTTAATTTAGACGCCTCAGTCTCGAGATACAAGATATTAAAGTTAAAATTTAAAAAAACCTAAATTGAAATTTTGTTACTCGTTGATAAGATTAAACCATCACATTTCTGAGCAATTTTGGTTAATCACTCGAAGCACAGGCGAAGGAATGGGGACTGATGGCGGTTATCTCGGGCGCCAGTTTCTGTTTACAGTGAACAAACACTACTACTCAGGCAGCTACAGTTAAGACACGGTGTGTCCAGGGGGCTAGAGAAAGTTAAACTTCAGGAATAAAAGTCACATTCGATAAATAATTACGTTTATTTAAGGTTATCCATTATATACAGTCCTACATACTATTATAATGCTACGGTTAGACCTCAGCTAGACCTTTTACCTACTCTCCCTGGCACTTTTGTACGGTTATAGCGGTGGAACGGAACTCGGGAGAGTTGCGCATTGGATATGCGCGGAACCTACTTACTTCGGTAATCTTCCGGGTGTTGGCGGACTGGACTCTGCGCTGCGACGGCAAGGGATAGAGATGAACTGAATTTCCACCTCAGCTTAATTTCCAAGCTTTTACTGAGAACGGTGGCGGCTGCGCAGTTTTCACAAGTGGAACTTAGCACAAACTTACTTATTTCCAACGGCGACCTTCATACTGGAAGTTGTGCTGTACTCGACTGTCCGCTGAGGGTGGTGCATGAATACTGCTTGCTTCTAACTTGCTAAGCAGGTAAATGTGCCATCGTCTTCGCGTTGGCGCCGTCTCATATTAATTTAGAGGGTGTGAAAATGCAAAAGGCGATGCAGTGAAATGCATTTATTTAAATAAAATAAAGAAACAAAAAATGCGGAGTGTCTCAGAACCCTGTTTGGAAATCGCTTCGTTAAAATAGGTACACATCCATCTTCACGAATGCAAAATTGCACCAACTCAATTAATTGTTCATTCATTTTGAATAATAGTTCAAACACTACAAACAGCAAAAACTACTAAGCACGTGGCGCAGGAAACTGTGTCCGGAAGACTGCGCTATGCAGGTTTGCTTAAACGCAGTTCTGTGCTACCCTACTCTCTATTAAGTTGTACTGAATACAGAAACCTGCACTACCCTGCCCTGCGTTGCCTGCGTCACCTGCATCTCAATGTGCGGCCGGCTTTATTATTGTTGTAGATACTCGTAAATGGGTTCTCTGACTTGTTTGGCATCGAGTCGCATTTACCTATAAATGTTATTTTTGCAAACATTAAAATATTAGTTTTTTTTATTAACAAACAGCTTGTTTATAATTTTTGGAAATGATATCAATTCGTCTCTATTTGTCATGTTTTCTGTACTTTTCGAGATTAATAATTTATTAGAATTATTATTTTGATAATTAAAGGTTTACTCGTTTTTGTCTGTGACTAAATCATAAAAACGTATAAATAATACTAATAATAATTTTTAACAAATACTGCAATTTATCGCAAATTTTACTTTGTAAGTGCTGTGGAAATTAAATCAACAGTACATGAGTTAATACGACACAATTAAAAATTATATAAGAGAGAACAAAATTAGGAAAATAACTATTTTATCCAAAAAAAACGATGCCATGCGTAGAAAAAAGTTGGACGGGGGTAGGCGATCTGTATTACTTACCACACCCCATTTCTCGGCTTGCGCCATGATTTTTTAAACCAAAATTGCCCAAAACTGTAACAATATAGCTATATAAAGATGAGCAATATTTCAATTCAGTATTTTACAAAACTGTAGAACAGAGAAACGAATACAACAGAGAAAACAGATAGAGCAGATAGAATAAAAATCCTTTGTAAAATATTAGCTTTAGCTCGCAAATTAAAAATAACATGATAAAAATCCCATTATTTCCGCCTAGTTAACCTGTAGTAAAAGGAATGACCTACTGATTTGTGACACACTGTATATATTTACTTCATCTTTTCTAGTTAATTCAGTACACATTTAACAGTATTTTGTTTTCGGTGTTCACGGTCGATAGACATTCAGATTTTTTAAAATTATTTCGAGCCCCCTTCGCAAAGACAACATACATCCAGTTCCGCTAACAAAACTCACTCCAAAGCCCACTCGACCGTCTACAATACAGAGAACAATAAGAAAACGAATTGTGTAATGTACATTCTCAAGGGGAGATACAAGAGACAAGTGAAAAATTCAGCCTGCGTTTGTCTTCACAAAGCAAGTGTAGTGGGCTGGAGAAGTGATGAGTATAATTGTGTCCAGAGAGTCTCATTAGCAGGCTCAAATGGGGCTCTAATTGCTGGCACAATCTAATACACACCTCAGTGAGGACACCTAGAGGCCCCGGGGCCTAACTCAATCGTGTGTCAAATTGTAGCCAGCGGACATCGGCCAGCGTAATTCACTCAACCGTTCCGGGTTCCAGAGGGCAGGGATTGTTCTGCATTGTTTCTTTTTTTGTTCCCTTATTCCCTTAATTCAAAGAGAAATTTGTTTTTAATCAAAGCAAGGCAATGCATAAAATTGTGAATCGATGTTTAATGGGGTATCAAGTTTCAGTGACTAAAGAGACAGGGATGACAAAATTCTATTTCAAGTGCTCCCGAGTATATTGGGTATTTCTAAATTATGATGCAAAATGGACTTAAGAGATATTAAATAATATTTTAATTAAAAAAGTTTCCTACGAACATAGACCCAAAAACACTTAGTAGGTCCACACACAATTAATAAATAAGTTAATATAGAAAACCGAATCCAGCCATACCAAATAAACAAGTTTTATTTTTTCAATAGCAAGGTTTTTAGGGTTGTATAAAACACCTACTTAACAAGTGAAATAAAATTTAATTATCTTCTGTGTTATCCTCCATGAATTTGCACAGAATAAAATAAAGAATTTGAAACTGTACCTATCGCTGCTAACGCAAAAAAGATATATTTTTTATGTTGCGTTTTTTGGCACCACTTACTGGCCAGGCTTTCTGGTTAATTTTTCGCTTTAGTTGTAAATAGTTGTAGTTCGAAACGTTACTATCGTGTCAAAATCAATTTATTTACTGAATTGCAATGGTATTGTCGGAAAGGCAACGCATTGAAATCTTGATATTGCTTGGATATGGGGACAAAATAAGAAGTCAGGCTGAAGTGCGCGATTTATTTAATGCGAAATATCCCGAAAATCAAATGTCGCAAGGGACAGTTAGTAAAATATTTCACAAACTTGAGAAACACGGTACAGTACAGACTTTGCCCAAAACTGGACGGGCACGTGCTTTGAATGAAGAAAAGAAATTAGACATTGCATTAGAAGTTATTGAAAATCCTCATACTTCAACTGTTTCATTGAACCGCAATGACGATGCTTCTCGAACTGCAATTCGAATGTTTCTGAAACAAGAAAAATACCACCACTATAAGGTATGTCTTGTCCAAGAGCTTTCGGAAGACGATTATGATAGGCGATTACAATTTTGTGAGGAAATGATGAGACGGTGTGACGACAATAATTGTTTTCAACGAGACGTACTTTTTTCGGATGAAGTTACGTTTTATTTTAATGGAGTGGTTAACAGGCACAACTATCACTTTTGGTCCCAGGAAAATCCACACTGGACATGCGAATCGCATAAGCAGCATCCACAAAAAGTTAATGTATGGGCAGGTATCATCAACAACAGAATCTTGGGCCCATTCTTTTTTGAAGAAAATCTTACTGCCGCTCGCTACCTGGGTTTCCTAACATTTGACCTGATACCTGCTCTAGCTGTGATTTTCCCTCATGAAATTGATCCAGATATACCGAATGAAAGAATTTGGTTGCAACAAGATGGCGCTCCCCCACATTTTGGTATTGATGTTCGAAGATACTTAGATGAAATGTTCCCAAATCGCTGGATTGGTAGACAGGGTACAGTTGAATGGCCGCCAAGATCCCCCGACTTAACACTCTTGGATTATTTTCTTTGGGGATATTTGAAAGAAAGAGTCTACCAGGACAGACCGGATAATATTGATAATATAATTTACCAGCTGAAGTCATTCAGAATGCTGTGGACAGCATTATTATCGTCTTGGAGAATGCCAAATAGTGAATGGAGGACATTTTCAGCATTTGTGACATTGAGTTTATTTTTGTAAATTATCTAGTTGTTTCAATTTCTAAATGAAAAAAAACTTGTTTATTTGGTATGGCTGGATTCAGTTTTCTATAAGCTTTTCAACGAGCCCCCCATGCCTTATGTTTCCATTTGAAAAAAAAGTAGGGGTAGCTGGGGGTTAGGGGTTGAAGAAAAATTAATTATTATATAACTGAAAGATGGGAAAAAATCAAAATTAGTTAACGTGTTTCAACGTTTTAAAAAATAATAATTCATTCAAAAGATATGAATCATATTCCGTACTTCTGGCCATCCCTGTACATAGATTGGACTGAAATTGATGATGATAAACAAAAACATGCTTCTGTCTAGAAAACATACAT